AAAGCTCCATTTTGCAACAGGCCCCGGTCAAGAAAAGAAGCAGGCTACTCTCTCCAGAGATTCTTTTTATTTCTCCAAAAAAAATATTGGAACAGATGCTACTGCAAACACATGGATAACAGTCCCCAACAAGCACAGAAAACACTGCTGGGGGCCCTTGAGGGGTGTGCCGAGAAGGCAAGGGTGTCTCACTTGTAGGCCAGGCCTCCCCACCCCTCCCGCTCTAAGCAGCATGAAAAAAAATCCTGCTCATCTGGGTCTTTCTGCAACCCCATCCACGTGCCAAGGCTGTTTCGGCATCCTTTGTGACCGAGTGAAAGACGGGCACCGGCTGCAGAGGAGAGGGGGAAATGCAGGGTGGCATCCGAGTATGAGTGGAAGGCACACTCAGGTCAGGAACCAAGGCCAGGGAGATGGGGGGATATCACAGAGCCAGGTCACAATACAAGCAGTGGGGATCCTGCTCCAGCCAAGACCCTGACAAGCAGCTGAGAGGTGACTCCAGCCAACTCAACAGCACAACTTTGGTGCTCGCCAATGGATGAATGTGACGCTCGAGAGAGGCGTTGAGCAAGCCCCTTCTACGACAGCTCTAGGGAAACGTTTCAGCTTCCTGTTTCTAAGCTAGGCCCTGCAAGGTGTTCTTTTCTGCCACGTGCAAGTGAGCATTTGCAGCGCGTGGGCTCCCTTGGGGGGAAAAAGATCCATGGCACACGGCCACAGGAGGCAAAGGTCAACCCAAAGATCTCTAGGTGAGAAATTGAACAGCACCTGAGAAATGGAAACTCCACCACTTGGGAATCTTCCTCATAGAAAGGATGGTCTTGGTTCTAACCCTGAGGACTTTGTGTGCTCTGTGGCTTGAGAAAAGGGGTGGACCAGGTGTGGGGTGATGAATTTTGCATAGAGTATAGGCTGGGGGGGGAGGGAGGGGGCTATGAAACTAGCCTTCCAAAACTTGGGGATCCACCAGATGCACTGGAGCCTCGCCTCCCAATTTCTTAGCCAGCATAAGCTGAGGAGGAGGGTGCCAGTTTGGGAAAGGTAGCCAAAATAATCCCAACCAGAGTGGATCTCTTACAACAGCACTGCCATGCATTGTGTGGACGGGGGGTGGGGGGTGGATCACTGGTTTAAAGCAGAGGCTGGGGTGGGGGCAGGGTAGTTCAGTGCTGGCTTTGATTGCTGGTCACTGGTTTGAGCCAGAAGATCTAGCTCGGGCTTCCTAATTGGGGGAAACCTCTGGCGGCAGCAGCAGCCATCCTGGTTTGACAGCCCCACCATATTCCCGAGCCCCAGAGAGATCACAACTTTCAGGCACTGTGAGGCGAGTTTGGAGGGCAGGCAGCCAGGTCCCCAGACTCAGCTGCAGGGAGGACAGGAGTATCATCCTGGGGGCCCTTCCTGGAACCTGAAGCCAGCCCCCAGTGCTTTGGCCCCCCCTTCCTCGATAACCCTTCCCTCCCTCTCTGCTGCATTCAGGATACGGAAGCATCTGAAGATGGGCGTCAGAGAGGCAGGTGCCAGGCTTCGTTTCCAAGAGGAGGCAGCACGCTTTGAGACCGCAGACGCAAGCAGTGCTTCAGCTCTAGGGCCAAACGATACAGCGTTCTGCACCCTCGGTTAGATTTTAGAAGGGATGCGCGTATGGGCGTGCATTGCAATTTAGCGAAGCTTTTCAAGGGGGATTTTCCGGATGTTTAGAAGAAGCCTATCTCGTCCAGACGTGTTCCTATTAGCACGGGGCCAAAGCGGCACAAGGACTATCAACCTTTTTCCAGTACGGTCCTGCCTGCTGATGAGGCTGCGGCAGGGCAGGAAGGAAAAAGCCAACAGCCTTGGAGCACAGATGGAGGAGGAGGAGGAGGAGGAGGAGGAGGAGCAGAAGTGATTATCAAAGGAAAAGAAATCTCAACCTCAGGAGCCAAAAGGGTCTGTTCTGTATCCGTGGGACCGCCAATGGTGTCCCTGCTACCAGAACCCACAACCCACCAGCATCCCTGGGCTCATGAAAAACAGCGGTCCTGGATCAGCCCCATGCCACCCCCCTCCGTGACCTGCTTGCCCACCCACACACACCTGCCCCCTCAGATGTCCAGCATCTGACCATCTGCTGCCCCACTTCGGGGAGGCCTTTCCCCAGCAGAGCGCTGCCACCACCGCATTTTCCACTGTGTTTTCCTCCTGTTTCAACAGAGGCGATGTGGCCTGTTTCGTTTTGCTTTTCTTTGTTAAGGGGAAGGAGGGGGCCAGAAGGGGAGGCATTCCTTGTAACGTCAGAGATGCTTCATGCAATCTGCAGTATTAAGTAAAGAGCAACGGCCAGTTTTGTTATGCCCTAACCCTGCTCCCCTTGCCGATCTCAAGCCCCTCGCTGCACCCCACATCACTGCTCAGGCCTGTACAGATTTCACCAACTGCAGCAGAGCCCCCAGCCCCTCTCCCACCACAGCTCCTATTTATTCTTCTTGAAAAAACTGAAACGTTTCTCGCGGTCCTTCTCCTTGGCATCTTTGCTACGCAGGGTGACAGTCCCTTCTGAGGCGCTGTGGTGGGGCACGGGAGGCATCGTCATTGCTCGCGTCATGCCTTTGCTGATGAGCGGAGGCTGATCTTCCGCAGGGTCTTGGGGAGTGAGGGGGCACGCGGCAGCGGCATTGATCACTCGCATCCAAGTACTCATCTCTGCCTGGAAGGGAGGGAAAAAAAGAGGGCCCATGAAGCAAGGACAGAGCGTTTCCCTCCAATCGTCTGAACCCCAACAAAGAGCAGGATATAACCGGAGGATGGAGCGAAAGACTATTTAGAACAAACGTCTGGAGATCTACTCACCTCATCCTTTGCCTGGAATAAATATTCTTTGCCATCTGTTAATCTGCCAAGAGAGAAGAAAAGCAAACAAGAATCAACTGATGTTAGCTGAGGAGTCTCAACACCCCAACTCCTCCAGCAAAACCAGATAAATAATAGTATGTAAAGGTAGACCCACTACAGCACTTCATGAAAAACATACACTTGAGATATCAACCTTTTAATCTATTTACTGGGAGTTAAGTCTTCTTGAATACATAGGTTGTGCTCACAAAGAGTAGTTTTGGACTATGCTAGGTGTTGAAAATTGTGAAATACCCTTGATTCCTTTTGCTACAATTCCCAAGATTCCTACTGCTGTAGCTTCCTAGAATTACCGTCCTCGTGATTTTCAGACAGGCCTACAGCTGTACTTGATGGGGGTGCGGACACCTCCTACCAGTACTCAATTGTACACTGGAAACCCAGGAAAATTTAAGAGTAAAAAAATGCAGCCGATACTACCTGGCCAAATGCAGCCAGAGCTTACCCAAGTTTGAAGACATGCTTGCGCTTCTTGTAATCCAGAGCCACGTTGCACTGCGCTCCCTGCAAGCTGACGGGCACTTCCCCATGATAGGGAATGCCATTGCTGGCGTGCTTGCTGTCCTTGTAGAATCCAAAGCTGCTTTTCTGCACAATACAATAGATGGCCTGCCAAGACCTGGGGAGGCCAGATAAGGGGGGTGGTCAGAAGCATGCTCCAGGAGTCATTTCCCCTCCCCATTCAAATACTATTTGCCTGGCTGATTCGATCTGGGAGGGTTGGCGCGCTCCGGGTTCCTTCAATTAAATAATGCCACCTATTGGGATCCTGGAAGTGTGCCTTCTCTGTTGCACTGCATGTCCTATAGAATGAGGCCCCCCAAGATCCAAACAGCCCCCGCCCTGCCGATGTTTCGAAGGGGCCTGAAGACCTGGCTCTTTACCCAGGCTTTTGGTGGGGATGACTGAAGCCTCCTTTTAACTTAGGTTGCTGTCTTGACATCCAGTTTATCATTTTGCCACCTCTGCCTTTGTTTCTTGTTTTAAATCATTTGTAAACCTCTCAGAGTCACTGGGAATCGGGCATCATCATCATCATCATCATCATCATCATCATCATCATCATCATCATCTCTTTGAGTTCTGCTGGTGCACTTCTTATATTTTCCCAAGTTTGTTTATTATTTTACAGAGTCTTATTATTTTGCAGGAGAGTCTTGGGAGAACCTACAGTGATGCACTCAGCCTCCTCCATCCCAGCTCCTTTATCAAAGGCTCTCAGCTCCCAGAATT